AGAGAACTTGCTGAGGGTGCACTCAACAGCTTCTGTCTTCACGTGACATCTCTGTGCAAACATATGCATCTGAGGAAGGCAAAAGTAATTTATTGCATCTTGACTAATACAGAGGAAAGGGGAAATAACCTACAAAATGAACCAGGAGATGCAGTTTTAACTATGTCATTTCTCTTGTCTCCATAGCACTGAATGCACAAAAATATAACCTCTACCTCCTCCTTCAAACAAATCCACGTACAATTAAACCCCACAGAGCTTGACAACCTGCTGTCAAGTTGTTTAAGCAGTTGTTTCAGGATCTGACAGACAAACTCATAAACAAAACGTAGAGCACCAGATTGTGGGATGAGGCAGCAGCATCACGTGGCTTCCTCAGTGAGCTCCCAAGTTGGAAAGCAAAAAAGCAGAGGGATACTTCTTCTCCTTGAATAAATAACAGTTTAATTACATTCTAGAAATCAGATGTGATATGGTAGGAATACACTGGAAATCTTACAGAAATACTAGTCTGCTACTGGTAGGTAAATGGTCCAAGCTACTTTTCATGACAATCTGAACAGTACTTGTGTACAAACTATTATACAGGTTGCTAATGAAAAATATTGCAACAGTTGCAAGGATGTTACCAGCTCAAACAAACATCTAATGATACAATATTCTTCTAAGAGGAAGTAATAATGTTAGATTTACAGACAATAAAGAGTTATGTTCTCCACTTCGAAACACTGGAAAGAAAAAGCTCAGGTAATCCAATTTCTTTACCTCTAATTATCACAAGGAAAGATTTTCCTTTCACTCTGAAACAGCATCCCAGGAGACCCTGTAAACAGTTTATTCAAAGGTAGTCGTTGAGATGTCACAGCAACTTCAACAATTTCCCTAGTCTACAATTACAGACTTTTTAGGCCACTGCTTGTACAGATGACTTGGGTTTCTCTTCCACTCATTTACATACATTCAGCCCAATAACAGTAGGAAAAATGCTCTGCCTGTCTAACAACAGACACACTAAAACCTTCCTTGAAAGGCCAGTGCAAGGAGATGTGGGTAGTGATTGCACAGCATCGAGGAGATCGTATTATACAAATATACAAGGAGACTGTTAGAACTGAACTCTGCACACATGACGTAGATGGTCTTGGCAGACACATGACACTTGGAGTTGGAACACACACTGAACTGCCACTGGTGTTGGTTGGGGATGATGACAGTGTGGGTGGCCATGGAACACAGTCTGGTTTGGCTGTGCTACCACTCAGTGAAGGGAGGCAACGGCAAATGAGGAATACCTAAAGCTGAAGATTCTTCTAAGGAAAGGGTAGTTCTACTTAGAGCACAACACGGAAGGGAATCGTTGCCACCTCTTTAACAAATGGTTCTAAGTGAACCGATGCAGTTCCCAGAGCTTGAGAAAAACTCGTTATGCAAATGAAGATCCTGATGAGAGACAATAACATTTCACAGGATGCGATTTCTTATTATATCAGTAAGCACCAAGTTAAGTGCCAAGACAGCCCCATTGTCCCATGATTTATCATGTAAAATTTAGAACTTGAATGCACAACACAAGTCCACGAAGTTTGCATTTAATTCACAAGAAGACAGGTTCAAAAATGGCTCTTAAAGTACCTTTACATTTCCAGTGGGCTTTCCCCCTCCTCCTCTAAGAGGACTGCTTGAGGATAGACTAGGTCTAGAGATTGAATCTTTCAGGAGGACTTGGACATCCTCTGCAATCCACTGGTTTCTGGCACCTTGAGAGGGTGGTGCCCTGTCCTATCACCCAGGTAAGCTGCAGGGGAGGTGGGTGGAGGAGGAAAGTACCTCTGTCTCTTCCAGCTGCTTCTCAGCACCTTGTCTGATCCGATCTCTAAAACATCACCCCTCGCCAAGCCTAGATTTGGAGCCACTTGTGCCTCCGCAGAGCCACTGGCTGAAATGGGCTGAGCTGGTCATGCAATCAGCTGCTCTGAAATGCCACAGGAAGGTTGTGGCAGCCAGAGACTGATGTTCCCTCTCCTTCTCCCTACACAAGCCCAAGGCTGGGCAGGAGGGCAGCAGGGATTTGGCTCCTGTGCCATGGAGGAAGTGCCTCCTGTTGTGACAAGCAGCAGGCAGCTAAAGGGCTAAGCTGCCTCTGCAACTATCTGGGCAGAAATCAGCCAGAAGAAGGGTGAGGAAACGCTCTGAAAAAGCAAGAGAGCAGAGCAGAGGACCCCAGAGCTCCTCACTCAGAACAGAACCACAGAATATCCACGCTTCAAAGACTGTCTGGACTAAGTTCCTTGTGACAGTCACAGGCTGCAGAAACTATCCCATCATGGAACAGAGCCATCATCTTCCTTCAGCAGCTTCTTCCTTGAAGCTGGCAGTGTCAAACCTGGTTTCAGTGAGGCTCACCTCATTTCAAGCAATCGGATTCGAATCCTGACAGCCTTCAAACCAACGACCCTTTCCTTCTGGCTCCCTCCATTCCCAGGAACACCATGCACAGCCACAGCAGTTGTCAGTGTGGCTCATTCCATGCTCTGCCTCATTTCCCCTTGTTCTCAAGTACCACTGCAAGGTTGCTTTCTCTAGCACGTGGATACACATCTCAGAGTGGACTGAGATGTTCTTTCCTCAGGAGTCAGTTGGAAGAACTCAATTTTAGAAACAGAATTCATGTGCAAAGCGTGCAACAAGAAATACAGTTCCATTTGGTCAGTGTCCTATCTTAGTTAGGCTACCATGACTCACACTGATTAGTAGTTACACACACACACACACACACACACACACACACACACACGGATATTTACTTATATACACACTCACACAGTCAGGAAATGTCTAAGTCTGACAAGATTTCCTCCTCCTTTAGTGAAGACAGAAGTTCAGCATCTCAGGCTCTGCACCTGCTTAAACCTGGGGTACAGGAATGTGACACACTTCAAGTACACATGGACTGCACAGTGATAACATCACACATCGAGTCTCACACATGCTGTCTTCAGTGGTCCAGCACCAGCACGTGGCTTAAAACCAGTTGCCCACTAAAGGAGCCAATATCCAGGACCTTCACTTCTCAGTGTTCATATTCACACAACTCCAAAAGAGCAGGGCAATAGTCTGTGCAACCATCAACATCCTCTGTATAAACGCAGTGGGATTGAAAAGTCTGAACCAGTGCATTCCTCTCTCCCATTCCTCCTCTATTCCTCTGTTGCTGTTACTCTCCTAGGCATGTCAAAGTAAAAGGTGGTGGGGAAAGAATTGGAGTAGCACACAAAGCCTCTCCTCTAAGTCCACAGAAGACCACTAAAAGTGTCAGATTTCCAAAATATCTCAAAGGAATTCTTCAAATACAGGAAGTGTTTTCCATGGGGTTTACATATCACGGTTCACATTATTTCCACAGAAGTCTACCTTATCACTTGGGTTTCATCAGACAAATAGCAAGAACACAGAAGAAAACAGCAAACAATGCACGCGACACGACACGTTTTACGAAATCTAGAACTCAGCACTGCTGCTTTGGGAAAAGATCAGAAACTCCTAGCACTTGGAGACATGAAATACACCTCACATTGAAATGAACAGCATGATGACAAGGCTCTTTTTTTTTTTTGTTTCTCTTATTTGACTGGTTTAGGATGAATTCTTTTTCAATTAGGTTTCACAATTTTTCTTCACACCCCCCGAAAAGGAACCATGGCTAACCTGGTATTTTCTCTGTGCTCTGCCAGGAAACGTTAGAACTCAGTAAACACCTCTTGGAGAAAAAAACTTGTGAAAATTTAGCTCGAATCCCTAATTGTAAAAACCTGAAGAACCAGCTGATGGTAAGTGCTCTTGACACAATCATCGCTCAGCTTACAATGACAAACCAAAAGAAAGGTATCACAGGAGGGTACAAACACGTTAAAAGCCACGGGTTTGGTTTTTCTCTGTTGTGGATTTATTATCCTTTATTGAAACCAACTCCTCTCCTCACGAGGCTGAGAAGTCTCTGCCTCACAACGCTTCGGCAGTCGTGTCTGTGGAGACAGACATGGTAACTTTGGCAATCTTTACTGTGCTCTTAATGCAGCTCTCGGCAGCCCTGTGCACGTTGCCCGCGTTGTTGGCGTGTTTGTGCTGGCAGTCAGACTCCATGCTGTTGTCCAGGGGCTGTGCTGTCCCCTCGCAGGTGGGGAACATGCTGCGGAAGGCGTGGCGCAGGTCCTTGCTCCTCAGAGCGTAGATGATGGGATTCACTGTGGAATTCAGCAAACACAGCATGCTACAGAAGGCAAAGACAGTCTTGATGAGCTTGTTCATTTTCCCAAAGACATCGTACACCATGATGGCAAGGAGAGGGCCCCAGCATATGATTAAAACGACTAGGATAAGGACCAAGGTTTTGGCTAACCTGATGTCCATACGAGTTTGGTCAGGCCTCGTGATCTGCACCTTACCATCCTCTGTAGACTGGATGATGATGCTTTTCTGCGTGCCCCTCTGGAGCATCCGCACGGCGTGGCTGTGAGCCTTCCACAGGATGTACATGTAGGCATAGACAATGAACAACAAGAGGACGCTGGTGACCCCGATCCAGAACATCAGGTAGGTCTCGTCGATGAGGGGGAATATGTCCGAACAAACAGAATTGAGCTTTTTGCAGTTCCAGCCGAGCAGGGGAAGAACAGCTATTACAATAGCGATGGTCCACATGACACAAAATGCCACGACGGCCTTTGGTCGGGTGACAATCCTTTTGTAAGCGAGTGGCCTGTGGATGGAGATGTACCTGTCTATCGCCGTGAGGAAAAGGCTCCCTACGGAGGCAGTGAAGGAGGCTGTAACTCCACCCAGTTTGAACAAGAAGACATTGGGGCTGTCCTTCCGGTGGAAAACGTGGAAATCCACAAAGCTGTAGACAAAAATCACGCTGCCCAGGAGGTCAGCCACAGCCAGGCTGCCAATGAAGTGGTAGGAGGGTCTACACCGCAGGCTTCGGGAGTGGAGGATGACGCACAGGACGAGGAGGTTCTCCAGGACCGTGAAGGTGCCCAGGGTGAGCGACAGCACGGCGATGGCGAGCTGCTGGCTGGGGTTCAGGATCATAAAGCATTCCATATCCATGAAGTTCTCCCCGCACTGTATGTTCTCCTCATTATCCTTAAACGTCGACAGGGACTTGTTGTAAAACTCGGTGATGTTGACCTGGTCTGAGGGAATAATGCTCAACAGGGGATCACCTCCTGCAGTCATTTTTTCTTGGAAAGGGTCACCCCTGAAGGAGGAAAGAGGGAATTTCTGGGGGTAGTACCCCAGCTTGGCCGTCATGTCGCCCTTCATGTCTTCGTACTGGATGTCGTTGGAGCCCACGTAAAGGAGATCTGTCGTGATGGTTCGGAACGTCGTATCTGCGAGGCCATCTAGGACTGACTTCATAACCCCAGTCTGCTTGGTCTCAGAGACACTTGGGGGGTGGAAAAATGCATCAGAGGGAACCCTAATGGGGAAAAGATCAGACTTTGTTAACATCACCAGGGAGACGAATGCCACAAACAACTTAGCTGAACTGTGGCGGACAAAATCAACCTTCCTCCTGCATTCAGTGCAGGTCTAGACTTTGCCCCCGTGGGAATCAGGGTGGGTTGAGCACTTAGAAAGAAATCACCTGGATTTCACTACAACTGAATTACACTAAGAAGTGACGTGAAAAACAGAGGCACAGGGAATTGAGTGTTTCACAGGAAAGCAATTTTCATTTCTCATCAAAACCTTCTGAGCTGCTCCACCAGAAAGATATTTTTCTCTACCTCTGAACTCAGCTTCTGATTGCAAAGTACCTTGCAGACCAATATTCCTTGGGCTTGCTTCGTTTAGATAATACCAAGAGCCACTGCAGGAGCAGCATCAAACTGAATCATCACCTTCACTGCTTTTCTTTCAGAAGGCACTGAGGGTTTTGAGCACCCGACAACAGAGAGGCACTGGGGACAGAGCCATGCACTCTGAATTCCCCAGTCCACCCAGTACGTCTGTAGAGTTACATTCTCCAGTTATAGCAATCTCAGTTCCACAAACATCCTCTGTTTGCTATTGCAAATTTATTAGCAAGGTGTTTAATCTACACACACAGAGCTTCACTACATTCATATACAAAGGTATAGCTTCATCACTCTATCCCTCCCTTCTCCTAAGGTAACTGGGAGGTTTGGGCTAGATGAGATAGGTGGTTGTTGGGTTGTTACCCAGCTCTGTGCACAGGCTCAAGAAAGGTGAGCAGCACTGCTAAGTCAGTAAGAGAATCAGTGATCCAACAGCCTCAACCAGGGCAGTTCACACTCGCCTGGAGAAATCTAGCACCACGTTTGGGGCAGAGTGCAGCTGTGGCCAAAACCCCAGGCCAAAGGGATCAGGAGCCACTGCTCCTGTGAGAAGCATGGTAATGGCACCTGTCCTGCTGGAGACACCCTCAAAATCATCCTGTCCCCTGAGAAACTGGGGGGGACCCAGCAGAAGGACCCCAGGTGGTCTCTGAGTCCTGCAGGGCCTTAGCTCATGGATGGTGATTCACTGCAGGGTGCAACTCCTGGTCAGAGTGACCCTCATCAGCACCTGAGGATGCACAAACCTGTGAGACAAGTCTTACAGCTCTTCTTATGCTATACTCCTTTAGATCACATTGCCCATGGAAAATGCCTTGAATGTGGATTGAACATCTGCTTCAGGGCCCCTTTGCACCACCTCAGTGGATGAGAGAGAGAGTCAGAATCTCTCCTTCCGTGTACTACAACTCTTCTGCATCTGCTGTGGGACATCTCAATGATGCTACCAGCAACAGGAGCAAACCCCAAGCTTCTAAATGCTTTCAGAACACAGGGAATTGTTTGTGACACTCCAGAAATCCCAGATGCCACAGCCAGCCTTGTACTGCCTTAACCTGTTCACTTCACACAACAGATAATAATGGGCAGAAAGGACACAAGAGATTATCTGCCAAAACTCAAGAGTACTGATGCCCTCAACTCCTAAAGAGAAAACATGTTCAGTAGGTATCACAGTTCTGTTTAACCATGAAAATTTTAGGAAAGAAGAAAGGGATTCTTGGCTACAACAATATCAATACTTGAAAACATTAGAAATCATGAGCATTGCTAAAAGAAGCAGAGATCATTTGGCTGCTGATACATTTATCTTGCCCTTACACATAGCACCTGAACACTCATGACTTTTTCCATAGTTCTTTAAAGTTTTGCCTTGGATTAAGCAGACATGGACCTAGAATGATAGAA